TGTGTGTAGGTATGACCTTCTATTTTACCAAGCATGATGTATTTTTCCAAGGATTAGTCTCTCCTGATCATGTGTCCTAAGCAAGGGGCACAAATCTCACCATCCTTGCCTCTGAAGACCTCTGGCTGGCCACCATGGGCTGCAAGGTAACAACGGGGACCAGGCAGTTTTTCCTCTGCTGCTCACCAGGTTGCTCCCTTTGAGCTGGGGCCAACTCAGTGGCATCTAACGGCATGCCTATTTTCTTATAAAGAGAATCGAGGTATGGAACATGGGGTTATTTGTGTCTTGTTCAGTCAAAACCCACCTCTCCCACCCACTGCCATGGAGTCAGTTCTGACATAGCTAACACGGGGCAGAGTTCAACTGATCATAGGGTTTCCACAGCTGTAACCCTTTAGAGCAGTGATTCTCAACCAAAACAGTTCCTCATGTGGTGACCCCCAACCATAACATTATTTTCGTGGCTACTTCATAACTGTCATTTTGCTACTGTTATGAATCGGGTGACCCCTGTGCAAGGGTCATTCAACCCCCAAAGGAGTCGCAACCCACAGGGTGAGAACTGCTGCTTTAGCGGAACAGTCTAATGCATGGAATGGTTGATGAGTTTGAATTGCTGACCTTGCTGTTAGCAGCCCAACACCTAATCCACTATGCCACTAAGGAATCCTTCAAAACTTATCTATCAGTAAGTTATCATGAATTTTGGTAGCAGACATTAGTTTTACCTGTTACTGAACTTCATATAAACAGAATCATCCAATATAAACTCTTTTGTGTCTAGCTACTTTTGTTAAGTTTAGTATCTTGAGATTTATTTAGGGTGCTCTAACTCACTGTCATCGAAATGATTCCAACTCATAGCTTCAGGACAGGGTAGAACTGCCCGTGTGGGTTTCCAAGACCCTAAAACTCTTCGGAGGAGTCGAAAGTCCCATCTTTCTCTCAAAGTGGCTGTGGTTTTGAAGAGCGGACCATGAAGTTAGCAGTCCAACAGACACAAAGCTTATTACACATTATGGCTGATCAATATTCCATTGCCTACATACACTACAATTTATCTTCTCTCTTATTAATGAAACTTTGGGCTGTTCTCAGCTTTAAATTATTATGTCACCTTTTCTACTGGACATATACTTAAGAGTAATTACTGGGTAAGTATATTTTTTAACTTTATGAGAGGGCTTCAAAAAGTTCATGGGAAAAAAATCCATTACCTTTTTCTAAACAGTTTTATTAGCATATATTTCACATATTATAAAATTCAATAGTTCAATCACATCAAGGAGAGTTACACAATCAGTATTAGGACATTTTCTTTATGCTAGTACTCGTTGTTATTAGCTCCCCCAACCTCCCCTGCCATGCCCCTAGGGAACCATGAAACCATAGATTTACCTATCCTGGGTTTCATATTCAGAAAATCATTTACAAACAAAATAAAAAACTAACAACAGTAACAAAGTAAAACAGATTAAGAACTCCAATCAAAAAGAAAGCAGAAAATATAAAAGCTAGAACAAATTTAGAATGGATCACAAGGGAGATCCAATGATAAGGCGTTGTTTCACCTGCAATAGCCAAGTCCAACACAGCCGTCATGAGAGCAAGGCGTTCACATCTACTGCAGCAGTCGGTAGCTTTTTATGCATATCCATCCGTTCTTCATTCAAAGAAGCATAACTGAGCCTCTGCTGTGTGCAAGGAGCAAGAGGTTCAGGTCCCTCAGTATCTTCAGGGCCTGAGCCTTGGGGCAGTGGCAGTGTGCAACACACGCAGTTCCAGGGGTGGGCTGAGTGACAGGAGGCAGTGGGTGGGGGGACTCCAAGGGCAAAGACTCTCCCCAGCGGTGACATGGGAGGCGGCTCCTTGGGAGAGGCCACCAGGTGTGAGCAAGGCCCCTTCGGTTGGCAGAGTTGGAAACGGGAAGCTGGGTGGAGGTGGGTGGGGGAAAGTTCAAGAATGACAGCAGGGCAGGAGGAGTGGGTTGTGGAAAGGAACCTGGAGAATGTGCAGGGTGGGGCATGGGGTGGGGGGACCAGGGCAAACATGTCCCAGCACCCAGCAGAAAGCCAGGTGGGAGGGGTCGGGGCACAGGAAGTTCAATGTTTGGGAAATCTTAAAATTCACAGGATGGCGTCACAAGAAATTTTTCTTTTTAATCCACACCGGTTGGCATCAGGTAGGCTCCAATTCCTCTTGCAACCCGAGAGCAACAGGGCGGGACTCTGCTCCAGAGGCTGATGTTTCTGAAGGAAAACAGAAGCCCTTTCTTCCTCCTCTAGCTTAGTCTGGAAACTCTGGTGGAAACCATTCAGCATGGCGGTGCCAGGCAACAGGCACTGAGAGACAACAGTAGCTGTGCGTGAGGTACACTGGCTGGGAGTTGAATGCTGGTCTCCCACTGGGAAAAGGAGAATGCGGCCCCTCCACCCCCACCCCCAAATCACACTATCTCCTTTCACTGATACACCATGACCATCATAGCCAGGCACTTTCTGTGAGGATCTGGGAAATAGCCCCCCAGGGACCCTCTAACCTAGACAACCATTTCCACCAGTCACAGCAAGCCACAAGAATGATGAAGAAATGCTGCTCCCAGGGGCTGACCTGGCCCTAGGCTGCCAGGAGAGTTGCTCCCCAGGCTGTGGGAGCAGGGGAGAGGCTTGGGAGGGGTCCGCTGGGCACTCAGGAGTTCTGGCAAAAGGAAGAAGCAACACAACTAAATTCCGTGCAGCAGCACACGTAAAAATTGTTCTCAAATTTGATGATGTGGTGAATGAGCTGCAAATGAAAGGAGAGGGGGAGAGGAAAAAGATCCAAAGCCGGAGAATATGATGAAATAATCTGCCGGGATTTGGGGCCTGGGGGTTGCTTGTCGGGAGCTTGGGGTCTGCTCTACCTCCAGGTCCGTGGTGTTAGGAGGGGTTCACGGAAACACAGTGCTACCAGCAAGCAAGGTGCTATGTGCACAGAGCCCTTCACCAGAGGTCGTCGAACAAGTAAACACATACGTATTCATTCTCATTTTTAAGCTTTTTCAGTTAATTTTGTTTTTCAACTAATCAACCACCCACTAGGCCCGCCTTTGAGGACGCTGGGACACTATCCTCTTGCCTGGTTTCTCCAGGGTCAGCAGGTGGGTCCTTGTGCCACCCAACCCCCCACCACACACATACACAGTCTCTCTCTGAATGCCGTCTCCCAGGGTCCCCAGTGCTAAGATCTCGAGGTCCACATGCAGCTACAACGGGTCACAGGCACACTCCAGCAGCAGGTGGACAGAGCCATCAACACCCCTTCCTCTGTCTCCGAGAAGGATGCTTCACCCCCAAGTGGCCACAGAGTTTCCCCCCCAAAGTCTAGGAGAGCTGTGGCAGGTGGCCGAGGCTGGGGTCTCCTGGTAAACACCCTGCCTCCTCTGCCACCAGCACCCCCGTCCTTGCACCCACAGGAACCCCACCCCTCCACTAATACCCCACCCCTTCACCACCAACACCCCCACCCCTATACTACCAACACCCCTGCCTGTCCCTCCACCACCAGTCCCCTGCTACCCCCACCAGCAGCCCTGCTCCCTGCTCCCCGCATCATGTGGAAATTAGCGGGGCAATCTGCCTTGTACAGGTCTGAACCTGTGAGTTCCTGTGCAGCTTGTGACCCTGCGCCTGTGCCAGGGGAGGAAAGATGGCCCCGAGGGGCCTTCGGGAAGGGCGTTATACAAGAAAAACAACAAAGGCACAGAGACACTGCAAGACCTTTGGCCTCGGACTGCCCACTTCGGGCCCTAAAGAGAAAGTAAGGCTCTCAGTGAAGCCATCGTGATTCGGGACTGGGCGGGCCAGTCTCAGGGCTTCCCTTAGCAACGGAGCGGCTCACCGACAGACCAGGTTTCACATCCACAGACAGACACATGGCCATTCCATTTCCATGACGGAAAACAGCAAACAATTAGAAACAGCACTTCTCCATTCCCTACTCAGGAGCAGCAGCACTGTCCTCTCCACTCTCAGGACTGCGCCCCAGCTCATGAGGAGGAACTTTTAACTGAATCCTCCCCAACCTAGTCGCGGGGCCCTCTGGAGCACTCAGTTGGCAGCAGGCTGGACAGAAAAGAAAACGTCGACTTCCAGATGGTGGGAGGTTTGAGGAGGGATTTCCTTTTGGCTTTTGAGTACATGGAGCAGCTAAATGGGCCATGGTTAACAGCACTTAACAATGTGGTCTTTCCCCCTTTGTTATCTGTCATTAGAAAACTTTCTCTTGATGCATACAGTGTGTGTGTGCACATGTAAT